ACCACATTAGCATTTATAATGTGTGTTTCGCTGTCGCCATTGTTATAAATAAATTGTCTCACTTATCAGATCGTGTGTGCAATTCTTGTTGGCGGCGGAAAGTACGAAATTTATTTCAGTTATTTCATTTGGTAAAGAACTCTACAAAAGAAGAGAGCGTTCAGAGTCCAGATCGTTTCGTTTCAAACGGCAATTACCGTATTCTGTTTCGCTCTCAGCGAAGCCTTGCAAATCGCAAAGTGTTTCGAATAGGCTTACATGCAACTGCCTCTAAATCTTCACCGCGAAAAGCGCTGTTTTCTTCAGTGCAAGAACAGAGTCAACATCAATCAAAAGATAATTTTCTTGAGGAACATATAACGTATCAAGTCTGTTTGAAATTAATGAAACTCAAGTAAAGGTTACTATAGTTTACCCCAGTCGTAATGTTGCTATTCCAACACTTCACGACAAGCAATCCCCATTGGCAAACGGCAAAAACATCTCTTCCTTCAAGTAAACAATAAACAGTCTGTTCTTGTTCCATTTTTAATCGAAAAAAGTGATCAATTTTCGAATTATAAGCTTATCGAGAGCCTTTGTGATGATCACTGATCTAATTATAGAATCCAACAGCAAACAGGCAATCAGAATGCCGCGTTCGTGGGCGAACGCGGAAAGTACAAAATGCCGGGCCTTGCTTGCAGGCCCACTATTCTTCCCTTGGGCCTGCACGCGGGATAGTGCTACGACTATTCTATATATGGATTTTAGAAATATTATATATTTGGGGCAGACCATTTGATGGGGGTAGATTTCTATTGAGCCCGATAATTCTTTATGTCCAATAAAGCTGTTAGAATAAAAAAATAAAAAATTCGATGGCAAAAAATCGAGGGCAGAGTAGTTGATATTTTTCGCAGACGTAAAAAAGTAGCTCCAATCAGTTTGTCGACCAAGAATACAATATTTTTTGTCCATAATGCATCAATATACGAACACTGAAAATGAGTTTACTGCCCGTATGTACGTCGTATGTACTCGTATGTTACTCGTATGTAAGTCGTATGTAACTCGTGTGGTGTTTTAGTCACGATCGTCGTGCCCAACAGAAACTCCAAAACTAAGGGGCTTTTTACATATTTCCAAACGTTTCTCGAGAAAGGCGGCGTATATAGCCTATCATACATACGTATTGTCTATTGAATGCTGATTAAAAAATTTCATTGCTAAGAATTCGAACGAGTGAAAACATATTCATTTTACAGATTTAAGGCTGGTATACTTTAATTTAAGGTATTATAATAGGCAATTCCAGCCTTTAGTTTATGCCTGCAGGGGATGATGGGAAGTAAGGTATCATATTGCTGATTATGCTCAAAAATTTCATTAAAAACTACCGAAACAACCGAAAAGTTTCAATATTTACATGTATAAACTATCACTCCGTGTTTACAATGCCATCATTTTTATTTTTTCGGCATAATCACCACTTCCCATCGTCCTCTGCACGCATAAACTAAAAGCTGGAATTGCCTATTAGTTGCGGTAATAATCATGTGTTTATAAAATTATCCGCCGTCCGTCGTCCGCGTTCGTCTTTTATCTACACCCACTTCAGGGTATATGCAACGCATATGGCATTCCGGAAATGGAGTGAATGGCCCGCGCTATACTTGGCTATTAGATTTCATTATATTTTCGGGAGCCAAAACGCACAATTGCGTATATGTCTGCTAATTTATGACGTCACATTGGTTGCAAGCTCAACTTACACTGGTTATAAATCTATTAACTCTAGAAACTGTAGACATCAGTTCACGTTTTTCTCCAGTGTTTCATCACATTTACCAGTGAGTGTAGTTTGAAATTATCATCTTGGATGATAGCAGTGATATTCAACCATTTTGAAGAGCTTGCAACCAATGTGACGTCATAAATTTACGGACACATTCACACTCATTTATATATCAAACAAATTGAAATATCTCGGGAACAAACCATAAAAAAAAGAAACTGGAAAATAAGTACAGTTAAAACAGTTATACAGTTATAACCGATATCGTAGGGCCTATAGTGGTGCAAGTCTATTCCATTCAAACCTTTCCTAGTGATCTAAAAACTATTGAAAATTATACGGTTTTATCTTTTACAAAAAAAATTAAAGAGTTCCAGATCTCCAATTGAGCCACAAAGTACAACATGTGGATGAATTTTCCTGCGCTATATGCAAACATGTTGTGCTTTGTTAATGCTTTGGTAACAGGTCATAAAACATGTACAGTCATTATTTAGTTACTTATATAGAGTGTATTTATGAGGGACATAGGGAAGAATTCCTTAGTGGTAACTATGTAAATATTGTTTTTCCCCTCTTTAAAAGTATATTTACTATCTAAATTACTAAATATCATCCCTAGAAAAATATGACTGAAATATTCTTTCCTTCATCTGATGGAAAGATTGACCGGTGTTGCCTCCATGCTCCTCACTCTAAGCATGCAGGGCTAACAAATTCACGCTTTCAGGGAGAAACATGCATGCTAGCAAAATACAGTTTGGCAAAGATTGCAAATCAAATGGAAAAAAATCTAGCTTAAGATTGGATTGAGATTTTAAAGTGGAAGTCAAGTCCGTAATGCAAACAAACGGTTTGTTTACATTTTGAACTGCTGTATTTTTTAAAATACGATGTACTGTCTGAATATCTAACACCATTTTGGTTCGCTATGCTTTTAAATGAATATGAAACATTTGAAATTTGGGCAATGTTCACATTAGAGGTCCTCACATTGTTATGAGCAAAACCGATGCGCAGAACGGACTTGACTTCCACTTTAATCTTTCATGCATGATAACTGACTAATACCATAGTTAATAGAGGAGATGGTTTGGAAACTCGTTAGCATTACAATAAAATCACAATAAACCTCATTATCTATGTTGTTCAGGTTTATGCGAAAATGTGGTCTTTCATCGTCACGTGTGTATTGTATTTTTCTCAAGTCAACCAATAGGAATGTTCAAAATGTTTTATTGTTAAAGTCATGGGTGGGCAATTGGACAAAACCGTTGCTATTGGCTGGTTGAGCAAAAATACAACACGCACGTGAAGATGAAAGACCACATTTTTGCATAAACCTGAACAAAAACATAGATAGTGAGGTTTATTGTAATGCTAATGAGTTTCCAAACCATCTCCTCTACTAACTATGCTAATACGTTGTCTGTTGTCTACAGTATGTTCAGCTGCGAGATATTACATCACGTGAATTTTGATTGGGCGAGTTATAACTTTTATGTCTTACTATACAATTAGTTATAGTTACAATGCCAATGATCGTCCGAACGAAGCAAGGAAATTATAGCATAGACTCAGTGCTGTAGAAGCGTTTTTGTACAACATCCTAGGAAACGAAAGTAGGAAATTTCGTTTTCTGTCCATACAGAATGTAATGACGTATCAGTCTATGTCAACACAACAGACCGACAAAATACTGTGAAAATTAAACCTCACGTCGGTTCCAACGACATGCATTAACACACCCTCACGGATATCTATAGACTATAGCCTGGTTTCCATATGGTCGTAATGGTCGTAAAAATAGAGTCACGATCTTTCTCAAAGGCCAGTTTATAATAGTTTATACCTGTAAACCACATATAAATCATAAGTGTTCTCTAGTTATAATTACGTTCACTTCGCGTATATTCTCAGTACCAAGTATTTCGGCTGATGAGAAAGATCGTGACTCAATCTTTACGACCGTTACGACCATATGGAAACCAAGGCTTATGGTTTGTATTTCTGTCTCGGATCTAGTTTTGCTTAGTTTTGCTTTGGAGTCAGGACCAAACAAAGAGAATTATTTAAGCCAAGTTGATCACTATTAAGAACTGTTGTATATTTCGAACGGTTCATATCACTGTCAGTATTTCAATGATGCTTACCTTCAAGTTCAAAAGTACCTTTTGGTAAGAGTCACATCTCACAGCACATAACAAGTCATATTTTCTAGCTTCGTTGCGGGTACATGTCTCTGCATAGTTATTAGCATTCAAAATGATAAGTTGCTCTCTACACATCAAATTAATGTCACATGCTGGCTTTTGGGTTATTAACAAATTCCTGACACGCATGAGTTGCAAAGACTAACACATTCGTCACTGGAAAAGACTAGAATGGATGATTATTTTTGTTCGTACTTCAAATTTAGGTTTGGATCATGCAAGGTCTCGCGTATACTGGCTACGGAGTTAACATTGTTAAAGTTTGATGTTTGTGGTGTTATACTCTGAGAGTCTGAGTGTACATCCACACCAGGCAAGCTTAAGCTGAAAAGTTTACCGCGACCTTCAGGATATTATTCCAATGCTGTACCAACTGAGCTACGAGGTCAAGTCGGTTCGAGTTGGTGATATTTCGGAACTGAGTGTAGTTCCTCGATTCCCACCGTGGTCAGACAAACTTTTCAGCTTGCCCAGTTTGGATGCACACTCTGTTTCACAGAGTAACACCACAAACATCATATTCACCTAAGTAACATAACACCAACAAACACAAAAAGTATTGTTAAAGTTTGATCTAGCAACTCGGACAAACGGCAAAATAAAGGGCATGTTTATACATGCACGCATCCTCCGCAGGCATCTCTATGCATGGGTTTTAGCTCGCGAATGAGTAGGCAAAAACTGCGTGAGACTGGTTGAAAAAGTAGGGAAATCATGAGCATGGCCTACAATTTACTAGTCTCTGCCGAAATTCACATCCCATTCTCATCTCATCTGTCGTTGCAATAGAAGTGCTGATAAAATATTGCACCAATTCATTACCTATTCATTTGGCCAAAAATTGCTCAAATTCCTGTTTACTGGCATGTTTGTTCCCAATTGTTCAACCAGTTACTGAAACGTGAAGCCATTGGTTGATTCATACACACATGTACAGGAAGTTGATCAATTTTATCAACACTTCCATTGCAACGACATTTAGAGGATGCCATGTGAAGAAAGTGTCGGGAGAGTGGAATGCGGTCCAGTTTCGCAGTTCTCTGTGAGTCTGGGGTAGTTTTGTACATTACACGCCTCTCTGTTAATTCGTGTATGTTGTCATTTTGTGCAGATCGAGCCTTAGTCCTACATTTTAGATTGGGGAAATGTTAAGGAATACATGGCGTCCTTTCTTGTTTTGTACTTCCAATCTGGATTTATTACCCATTATCAGCTTGAAAAAGTACATAATAATGTAAAAGTATATATAATAATGTAAACGTCCTTGTAGTTTTTTTCTGACTATATCAAAAGAAAACCTAACATTAATTTAAATATAATACAAAAATATATAAGAGGTTTCAACGTAGCCGATACCATAATGTAGGCGCAGCAAACACAATGGAAAACATCTACAATCTCTCACAATGGAAAAGTAATACTGAAAATGAAAAGTAATCTTGTTAATAGGTATACGTATTGTATATTTGTATGTAGCCCTCTTACACGAAAAAATGTAATAACATTTACCCTAATTCAAGTAATAACCGAAACCCCTACACTAAACCCACCCCTAAGGGCTAAGTTATTATACACAATGCTATAACGTAAGCATTGTTTTATGGATGTTTCTGCTGTTTTCAATATCAAAAGAATACATTTTGCGGACGTGGGGCTCATAAAGTAGGTACTGGCCAGTGTGGTGCACACCGCTAAAGAAGATCATTAGAAAAATAGCGTCAGCCTCAAACAGTACACGCTGATATTTTCACTTTAGTTATGATAGTGGTGGAGAGCACTTTCAGAAAAGTAAACTGTACACTTATCAGATGATCCCGCTTTGCTTTCAAATTAATTCCCAATTGTGCTTGTTCTACCACAAATTATAACGTGTTCAATTATGGTGAAATGACGGCATAAGAATCATTTCACTGCAAAAAATTTAGACTTTTGTATTTGATTTAAAAAATTATTAAAGTAATGTGACCACAGTATATATATAAGCCAAAATTTTAAGTATAAAATTACTCAAATTTCCGAGCAAATTTGAATAATTTAAATCTGTACTCAAAAATTGGGTAAATTTGAAACTTTGAGTAAATTTGCTCATAAATTTCAGTCGCTGTGAGTGCATTATTTTACTCAAGTTTTTAAGTCAAAATACTCAGAGATTTTTTAGAGTGTTGAAATATTGATATAAGTTCAGATTCCTTAAGGTTTTTCTCACGTGTGGTTCCACTGGAAAACTTGTTGGTCCTTGAAAGGTAACCGCCTTTTACGGGACGCTATTCCTCCACACACGTGCAGTATAACCAGACAGTATTTGCCGATGTTTTAGTACACCCTATACAATTATCGCTGAAAACAATTAGCAGATCGCGTTCCATCAAAGATCATACCGATAAGATAGTTTTGCTTCGAAACTGTTTTGTATTTCCAAAAATGTGCTCTGTCCAGTATTGTGAGATCAGCTGGTAGTTCCATTTTGTGTTTTGTTGTTGGTCGCTAAACAAACCAAAACTAGTAGCCATGGACGAGAATGGATCCTGCAATCAAACTCTAACAGGTGGGCGACTCAGGCATTCTAGCCTTATTATTAGACTATTGAAGACTATTGTTGCTAGCCATTTCTCCAGGTTTATAGATAACAGACACTCCAGTTTGACCAGTACCTCCAGAAAGCTTCAACATTTAAACTTAGAGCCCTCCTCGGACTATGAAAGTATGTTCTACTTTATACTATATAAAACTTGCATAATGGTTTTCAGTTCACAAGAACACTGACAGTTTCAAGATGATATATTCTTTTTCATCCAATTCCACGACAGTTCTTCTGTAGTCCATCTACCGAAAACAAAGAAGAACATGATTGCACTATAAAAACACTGACACCTTAAATTTTAGTTCACAAACGTGAAGCTTTTCTAGAGACCAATTTCGGCCAATTATTTCTATATTCAATGAACCTTTACGCTTTTACCATTATATATAGTTAAAATATAATCAATCAAAACATGGTCTGAGAACTTTGTGAAAGTCTTTCTTCTATTTTCTTTGTTCATGTCTAGATGCACTCTGAAGACAATGTATTTTAGGTATAATGAAGCAACCACCCAATACAGCCTTCCGAAAAGCATTTAGCCCCGGCTATAGAGCCTGATTTTCGGGATTGAGACATCAACTTTAGAGCCCTTTATCTTAATTGTTACTGATGACCCAATTAGATACTGAATCAAGGTTCTTTATATAACTTTATTCCGTAAATGTGTCCATATGTTAGAAGATAAGGATTCTAAACCAAATATGAATCACGAAAGCAAGGCTCAAAAGCCAAAGATTGTACTTTCCGCAAAAGTGCATTGTACTGCATTGTCTTGCTCACTCACCTAATCGCACTGTGGAAGTGCTTCACGTTTCATCTTATACACGCGACTTTACTTTGTGGGAGATTATTTCCGAGAAAATTATTAAGAAACGAAGTCAACCGGCTTGATTACTACTTGATCGTTCCACTGAACGTTGTCAAATGTAATATAAAATACTTCATTGAGGTTGTTGATCACAGGGTTCGGACTAGCCTCCCTCGCCGTCGCTCTTTGTGTCGAGGTTTCTTCTCACGAGCGGCTGTTCACTCGAGCACAACATTCCATTCCCATTTTCTTACGTTAGCCAATCAGATTTAACGACATAAATATCTAAATAAATTTAGCGAAATAAATATCTTAATAAGTCCAAGGTCATGTTTCCGAAATTTAGAAGCATTACTGCAATTGGTTGTTTTCAGGAAAGGAATGCTGTGCTCGAATGAGCATGCAGCCGCTCGTGAGGAGAAACCTCGACACAAAGAGCGGTTGCGAGACTAGTTTCGAACAGGTCAGTGAGAGTTAAATTCAAAGACTTTTCAAGGACTTTCAAGGCCGTTTATCAGAAAATTCAAGGACTAAGGGGCTGAAAAGAAGGCGTTAGAAATAAGTAAAAAGTGACGTTTTAGTGTAATGTTCAAACGGCAACTTTAATGAATTTCCAACTGTTTTGGACTTTGTAAGATATGAACCAGATCTATTTAAAAAATCTCCAATTCTTAATGTCGAACGATTTCAGAAAATATCCACTAAGGCAAAAACAATTTAAGAACTTTCAAGCACTTCTTTATAAACTCAGAGACTTTCAAGGCCTTGAAATTTTGTTTCCAAATTCAAGAAATTTCAAGGATTTTCAAATTTTGTACGAACCCTGTGATCTATAATAGTTCACACACAGATTAGGCAAAAAATAAGTATCGCATATAGGCTACCATATAGGCTACCGCCTCCTACCTATAGTGGCACCCAGGCTAAACCAGAGTTTGGTTATACACGGCCCTCTCCATTTAATTTCCCATATCTAATAAACACTGATTCCTAAGATCTATTAAATTTAATGAGTCTTGGCTTATGTTCACTCTGCAAACTGTTGCGTAAGAAGAGTAACATTGCTCTACAGTATACAATAAACGACCCTCCTTAATAAACGCCCCTCCCCCTTGATAATTTAATATTAGATTACTAACAGTAAATACATATAATACGAGGATATTTGACGACTTTTGAAACAACTTTACTTCGAATGATGAAATATCTACAACAAGCAAAATTTTACAACTACTGTACTGTAATATACTAAAAGAAACAATACAAGAATTTTCCTGATTAGTATAGGTAATCGCATGGGACTGAGTAAAATTATGGTTTAATTTCACGCGCGTTTTCAAAGTTTCGCAAATTTGTGAAACTTTGAAAACACAAGTGAAATTAAACCT